AATAAAGTTTCTTGTCCAAAATGTATTTAAATACAATTTAATTTTGCTTTGAAAAAAAGATGCCAAGATTTACTAAGTAACCATTCATTTCAAAAAGGATTAGTTACTTTTTACTTTACTTACGCCCTGTTACCCTCGATGGAGCATAGGCCGACAACCAGAGAATGAATCACTATTAAATATAAATCAATGTTTACATGTTTAACTAAATTGAATACAATGTTTCATGAAAATCTAACTTAATGAACAGATTTAAAAAAAAAACAGTAATTAGATCTTTGAAGCATTCCACACCTCAATCAAGAAACTAATGATGATGATAATGATGATAATAATAATGGAAAAATAAGTAGAAAAATCCCTTTTTTTAAAGAGAAAAACAAACTATTATTCTATTTAAGTAATCTAATAATAACATACGTTTATTTTTCTTGTATATAAAACGAGAAAGATCTAGTTTAATGATTCTTTTTCTTCAAAAAAAGACACTCTTAATTGCTAAATATACGATTGAATTCAATATAATTGAACAACTACTTAATTTGGATTATTTTGAAACTTAATTGAAAAAAGAAAAAAAAACTATTTTTCATGATTAATCATTTTGATAAAAACAAGAAAAAATATAATAACAACTTCATTATTTATGAAGAAATCATTAAGAATTTCTATAGTTGAGATCATGAGTCAATGGGATCTAGAACACCATAGAAAACTTGGAAGCATTGGAAGGCCGTTTCGTCCTATTATGAGGCTCTTCGTGGATGAAAACTGCTGAGAAGTCCCACAATAGAATGCAACAGCCATTTAGTGCTTCCAAGTGTTCCATGGTGATCTAATTTCGAATGACTTATGATCTCAACTATTGAAAATATAGTAATATCCACAAAAACCTCTTCTAATAGAAATTATTCAAAGTTTAAAAAATCAAATGGTAGAGAAGAAACATTAAAAAGAAAGGGGAATATTAATTTTTTTGGCAAAAACAAAAAAATAATTCCCATCTAAACAAAATGTTTATATAAAAATAAATAAAATAGAGATTAGAGTAGATGATTGTGATGTTTTTATGAATACATTAGTGAAAAGAAAAAGTGTAATTCTATCAGTATCACTATTATCATGAATGTTTGTATTAGAGATGTACAATAAAAAAGATAAATACAATAAAATGTGAAAATGTATATTATATAGAATTTTAAAAAGTTTTATTTATCTCTTTTTTTAATGGATAGAAACAAATAAAAATTATTGTTTAATCTAGAAGATACTACTTAAATAATAAGGGATAAAATTGTAATATTCCAATTAAATCTGATAATTATTCGTTAAATTATCAATTTATTCATAATATTTGATTGATATTAAAAAACGATTATTGATAAAATAGTGGATCTTGAATGTTTTGAATGTGTCTTTTTTTACTTTCATTTTGAAGGATCCTTAAAAATTTAGGTGTGTTAGATTTCAAGTTGATGTAACCGAATACGGTTTAAGAGTTATTCTGTCAACTGAAAATTAATTTACTTGGGACAATTAACATACGATTGAAATTCAAGAAACCACACGAAGATATATGTGAAGTCGATGAAAATGACGAACAGATATAATGGTCATTTGGCTAGAGAAAATTCACAATTAGAATGTATAAATTAATTTTATTCATGCCTTGATCTAACTTACTCATTTTGAAATATATTTTTCATATCCCTCTGATTAGATTTATTTGAGCTCCAAGGGAATAAAACTCACCACTGTAGCAATATTAGTCGTCCAATACTGAAATTTGTACCTGGATGTTTTAAAATAGGCCAATGCCTTTGAAATTGCTGTGAATTAGCTTTCATTTTGTGGAGTATACTGACTTTCAGTATTTTGCTTGAAGCTTAGATTTTTATTAAATTTTGTAGTCAGATTTTACTTTTAGTTATTCTTAGGAACTGATAATGTTTTAGGTATATTTTTGTTTTCTATCTGGTGTTCTGCTAAATTTTGTACCTTCTGAAGTGGGATTTCCAAATTCGCTTAATGGTCAGGCATACTCAAGTGGGAAAAACTAAAAATAACTGTCATTGACTCGAAGAGTCATAATAACGAAGTGGCGATTGGAGAGCAATATATACTAGTTCCGAAACAGAGGAAGGAATCTGCCACAGCCACCTCATCACTACAGTTAAAAATAAGTCCTTCAGAATTTTCCTCACACAGTGACAAACTTATTCGATAGTCCCATAGTTGGATTATAAATTAACTTGGCCTAGATGGCAGCAAACTGCTTCCAATACTATTTTAGCGGCCTGGAAGAATAAGAAGACGCCGATTCAAAAAAATTAAACATATCAGTGATATAAATCAGTAATTAGAAACTTTTTCAACTAAAACCTGTGACCTTGAATATACTTCCAAAGAACGTGTGCAAATTAGAGGAAATATAATGCTGTTTTATGCATGTAAAAATTAAGCTTTTGACAAATTGTCACTTTATGTAAAAACAATATTGAGGCCAGCTTACCCTTTTTAATTTAAATAAAATAAAATACTATAAACTACTAGCGAATGAATAAACAATACCTATTTATTATTGCAGTTCAAAGCCTTATGATTAGGATTTTAGGTCATTTATTTTCACTTGCAATTATTTATGAGAATTGGTGGTTTCGGTGTAAATGTGATCTCCATCAATCATTTCAGGTGTCGTCACTAAATGAACACAACTCTACAATTTTTTTAGTGCATTTTGTTTGTACTTCCCATTTGATTTCAAATTTTATAACATTATTCGAAGTTATCTTTGTGCCAACTACTTATCCATATATATAGTAGTGTGAAAACTGGTTTAGAAAGGAACCATCCAAGGAATCATTAGCCCGATAAATTTAAGTTAATAAATTGAGTTATTACCATAAATTCTTTTAAAGTGAAAAGTTTCAAACTTTTTAGTTCGCATATTAAAATCATTAATTAGGAAACATCCATCATTTTAATAAAATTGAATACATTCTCTCATACAAAATTCATAATTTCACTTCAAAACCAAAGAACCAGTGCAAAGATGTTCCTGTCACATCAATATACCATTCCGATAAATGATAAGTTCGTGACTAAAATCTAGTTTTATTCTCTAAACACTAGTCAATATGAACAAAGTACATTATGGCTTTATGAAATCAAATAATCCCAGTGAAATAGTTGAAGCAAATTTTGTTCAGAAAGAAATTCGAATACCATTTGAACTACTATATGCCAAACTAGCTAGATAAATATTTCAAACTTACAGAAAATTAATCATATTTTTAGCAGAGTTATTCATACCATTCTGAAACAACACAGATTCAGTTAGCTGACAATCAAAAACCAACAACCATTGTTTTTGAAATCATTTTGCTTGCCATTTAAAATAACAAAACAGTACAGACAACCTTGGCCGAATTTGGCCTTGAACGTCGAACGTGTGACATATTGATATTTCATTTCACCAAGAAATACAATTTTTCATAAGTAGTTAGATCGGACAACTCTACGGTATGGTTGAGACGGAGTACTAGTAAATCCACTATGGTTTTATTCTTGGTTATTTCTCAAACCATTAATTTTATTTTGGGATTATATTTCGGTATCACTGTATAAAAAAGTATGTAATGACAGCAAGAATATATTGACAATCGACTTTAATCTGACTCGAAAGTCATTAATGATAAAGACCTAGCAAAATCCAGGTAGCTATAAAGTCTCATCAATATAAATAAGTGGTAAGACACAGATATCAGGAAATTGAATTCCAAATATTCTATTTGGAACACTGTACACGAATGTTCGGGTCTCGAAGTAAAACAAATACTTACTAGAAAAGTATTTTGGAACTTGAGACAAGTTTTTTCGATATTCTGCATACTACGTTCATCACAGCAAACTTCGAAAGAATAGATTATTTCGAGATTTATGCAGTGTATACTTCATGAACTGGATTATCAATTCTATATATTCACCAACAATCTGTCAGGAATTGGACAATAGACTTAAACAATGTCGATGCGTATCTTATAAGGGAGAATGGTAGAAAGAGGTACAATAAAACATGATTTTTATTACCACTTATATTAAAATCATTCTTATTTTAGTGTTGCGGATTAGATACTTCGGATTAGAAAAACAAGTTGACTGAAGAAATATTTCTTTTTAATTAGTTCCCTATTATATACATACAACCATTTTTATATGTTTCGGCTCGATTGTGCCCGTGGTATTACTATTTATACTTAGCAATCGGGAGGCGCTGTAATTCCTGTGGCGCAAAATGCAAGCACAAAGACTTGTAAGATTAAGGTTTATAAACTCTTAGGAACACAATCACAGAGCAAGTCGTCCAAAATCACTTCATCATTAAACCAAACGCACTAATTTATATACTGATCTTACACACTTGGTGATTTGTAAATAAAAATTTTATAAATGGGAAGATGAACAGCCGTACTGTTAAACATAAACGAAATCCGCATGGAATTGTCATATTGGACAAAAGTTCACACATTTAATAGGTACCTTAAATAAATGTTACACTGGCAAATATAAAACCAATGTCAAAATGTCACACTTAGGAATAATGCTGATGTCATAAAACGTTACATCTAGTTGAAAATAATGCGAACTCGCCATCTTATCAAAATGTAACGTTCCTAATCAAGGTTCTACAGTAATATACAAGATATTCAAACTAAATATAAAATCAACATTTAAATAAATGGTGGTAAATCAATGGGAATATTTATTAAATTTATTCCTTTTTTTAAGCATGAACTGATTTATTTGGTTTTGAACCAAATTATTTGTATGATCAAGGTTTATGACAAATACTTATGCGACTTTCAAAGGATTGAAATTTATAACTAATCGGTTCAAATTCTTAAGATTTAACCACTAAGCTATCGATAATATTTTGTAATTTTGGCATAAATATACAATAATACTTTTACTACAGTATTGATAGTAGTTTATTATATACACATTGTCGGTTGATAATTATCATTATTTGTTTATTTGAACACATAAATATTGGTACAACAGGGCACCAAATATATATGCGCCACACAAAACAATGAGAATTCGAAGAGAAAAAAATGGGGGTAAGGAGCGTAAAAAAAGAACAATAACGAACAGATTAGTGTAAGGTAGTGTGATGATAATAATAATGCGGAAATGGGAAGGCAAAACCAGAAGGATTCTTTCAGTTAAGGAAGTTACAACCACCTTTTATGAAAAAAAGTAAAAGGTTACAGCAGCATCGCCACTGGCTTCTATTCTGAGCCATATCTCATAACGTCTCTAGCCACTGTGTAGCACCATCTCTCAGACTCCAGCCAGGGAGTCGTGAAAGACCAACAGAAGCCAGCCCAATTGAATTATCGTCTCTGTGTCTGAACACACGATGCCGAACCTCTGCATTATTAACATGGTGTTGCAACTGGATATCAGCAATCCTTCGGAGACAACGATGATCGAACACAGAATCGTCCAATATTCTCAACTCGAATAGGCCAGGTTTCACAAACAGAGCAAAATTGCTCTCTTTGACGCGTTGTATGTCAAACCTTTTACAACCAGACTAACATCACGAAGATGCCAAAGATGGCCCAAATTGACATAAGTTGCTCTTGCTTTCACTATACGTGAATTGATTTCAACACTTACGCCACCACCAGCACTTATGCAGCTACCTAGATACACGAACTTCTCGACTACTTCTATTTGCTCACCACTCAAGGTGAGTACAGGATTATAATCCTACCAGTCTTATAGAAGTACTTTGCACTTCGAAGGTGCAAAGCACATACGTACCTATGCACACTGATAATTATCATTAGTAAAAAGAAAAAAAGATGAAATTTAATAATTTAGGTAATTTTATTTATAATTTTATCATTATTATTATTTATAATGTTTTGTTCTAACCAATTAGCGTAATCAAATTCAATTCCAAGACGAGCTAAAGTATTAGAAAAATAATCAGGCAATTCATATGAATGACATGTTAAGAAGTAATAATTAATTGTACGATTATTACTATTATTATTACTGGTTGTTGTCTTTGTTGTCAGTATTGTATCACTGTCGACTTCCTGCTTAACACAAGATAATGATAAGGGACTAGGTTTTGATGATATATTACAAGATTTTAAAGAAAAGCTTTCAGATTTGATTTTAAAAAGATGTGAAGGCTTTTTAACATATGATTTTATACATAAATTTGAGGCATTCATATAAAATGGTATAGGTAGATATAAATGGGAACGATGAATATGAACTGGTATATCTTCGAAATTAATATTGGATTGACCAAGAATTCGACGTTGTTTCAGTGGTATAGAATAGTTTAAGCGAATTTTATTAGGCGGTAAGACAATAGGTGATATCCCAGTGTTCACAAGACGTGAAGCCTAAACAAAAAGTATAAATTGGAAGTAAATAGTTATTTTTATTAGCTATTTCATTTAAAAATAAATGGAAATTAAGTAAAGATTCATAATGAAGACAAATCAACTAATCGGGATATTAAATTCACTTGAATCTTCCCATTGATGGTTAAGATAGCAACTGATCAGTCTCTTATTGGCATATGTGCATACTGTGCGTATTGCGTCAATGGCGTTTGAAGCGAACGGTACTGGGTTCGAGTCGCAGAGCGTACATCAGCTCTGAGTTAGTTATTCAAAAAGATTTGTTTATAACTTGGTTGGCTACTAGCTGGCGGCTAATGTCATGTTTGTCTAGTCCTTAGTGTTGATTGAATTCCATCGACCAAGTTGCAATGTGGTCACCAGTCTGAGTGATCCGATACTGATTGAATTATATTTTGATGTTAAGTGGTTGGAGGGAGGGAGTCAGCAACAAACTCTAGACTTGAGTTCTGTGTGAATTGCCACTAATCAGCAAGGCGTATCTAGAATATTTATGGAAATAATTATTTCGGTGGAATTTGAAAGTGAATCCGTAGACAACTTCCAAAGTAAATGACCTTATAAGGTAGTCATCTTCTTACTTTCGTTTTTTCTTAAAGTTTAGTCAAAAGGAAGCTGAATAAAAACTCTAAAAATTGACAAATAACGACAATCACTACGCTACTTTCATAAATAATCTTTTTAAAACACACATATATGCATTCAAACGTACTTGAAATGTTTCTCCGACAACAGTGCAACCTTCATATAATAAGTAGACTTCAGGTAAACCACGATACAGACTGTTTGTTTCAAGTTTGACAAGACTGGAATTCTCAGAACCTTCGGAAAGAATTGTATGGTGAACAGATTTTTCTAGAATAACACCTTTCAATTTTAAACTTTTCGAAATTCCATTTGGAGATGGTCTGGAAACAGTGGAAACAAGTCAAAATAAAATAAACAACAAATATTCATATGGTTGAATATTGATGTACTTACTGCTTAATAGTTTTACTAATGAGAAGTTGAATATGTAAGGAAAAAATGAAATTTGAGTATATATATGCCATTCTCGTTCCTTTCTTCAAGTCCATGTCGTCTCATGATGTCTTCATACCCGATATTTCCATATTGACCTTGGTATTCAGATCTATCATCACGATGGTCAGGTTTTTCCTTGGACAGGTCTATACAATGAACTGTAGCCCCTCATAAAACTGGTCTTTATCGTCTTCATTGCTATCATTTGTGGGCGCATAGCACTGGATAAAATTGATTGTAACCCTCTTCTTCTTTGTCTTAGAGGATACTTTGATGATGCTAGTGTGGTGAGATTCCCATCCTATAAGTGTTTTTTCGTGCTTCCTTGAGCAGAATCAGTGGGATTTCTTGTGTGTCCGAGACATTTTCTCCTTGTTTTTGACCAGAATACAACGGAATCTGTCCAGAAGCTATCTTTTCTGTTCAGCTTGTGTCTAATAAGTTCCGCATATTCTAAACAAAGCAAGGTTGAATTCCCTCATTTCTGTAGTTATTTGAATGATCCTCTTTGTATTCTATAATGTCTGGCTATTCCACGTACCTGTATTATTTGTTGCTCTGATTACCAAAAGGAGGACTGTCCTTGTGACCTCCGAAGAATCTTGACTTAAGGTATGAGGTATCATAACTCTTCTTCAACTTCTAGAGCAGAATTAAGGAGACTTAAATGAATTTTACTGGTTACGTTTTTCTGCAAAATTATATTATATACATTAACTCAGGTTATTTCAAGTACATTTATTTATTAATTATAAAAGTGATCATAAAATCTTAACACATTTATCATATAAACTAACAATCAATTATCTACTGTACATTCAGCTGACGAGCCCCAAATAGGACGAAACGCGCATCCTGGATCCCACTGCTAACCACTATACATCTTCGCTTATATTATATATTGTGTTGTCAAATACTTGTTCACTAATAAATGAAGCTTTCATAAGAGGTTGAAGGGCAGCATGAGATACATTTGCTTTGTGAAGGTTTATGTCACGTGCTGTTAGGGGTATGAAACTGGTTTTCGTATCCCGGTTACACACACTATTGAATGACAATCCTTCTCCGAGAAGAATCTGAGAAGAAAACTAGGTTAGTGTTGGTTTTGTAAACTTGAAAGCTTGACTATAAAACTCAAGGGATACTTGTTTGAAACAGGTAATACAAGAATGTTATGTGAAAGGTTTTAGATGAGCTAGATTTGTATAGTTCAAAACTTAACACAAGTGATGAAAACCAGTGGGACAACATAAGGGCTGCTATTTTAGGGTCGACTTTTTCTAACTTCTACCTTTCATTGAGTAAGGGCAGAATTGCTGGAAAGGTTGGTAGTCTGAGAGAAGCACTTAGCTATCATCATACCTCAGTACAACTTCACCCTTGAAACTTAAATTTGCTGCTTCTAGTAATGGAGCTCAAGTACTACGTTAAATTGAAGGTTTATGGGAATGACCAAACTAAACTGAGAGTAAAATATAAGACTTTATCCTGTCGGTTGAAATCTGACTGACTGGACCAGTTAACCATAGTTCTTATATAATGTATGTTGCTATTACATAGTGAGTCTAACCACAGAACTATAAGACTTCAAGTGTATTGGTCCAATAGACCAGAAACGCCGAACTTTCAAGTTTGATAATTTTATTCAAAAAACTAAGCTTTAATCAAACTTAAGAGATCGATAGATCGAGACAGGTAGAAGTTATACGGAAAAATACAAAGAAAAGTACAAAATATTAAAAAAAATGGTGTATTTGTCTAGAAGAATCGGTTAGGTAGCCAAAAAAAACACCCTTAAAGTCATATAAACATAGAGATTATAGACATAAAATAAAACGTGGAACAAAAACAACTTAGATATACAGACATATGTCTCATTGATTGATCGTTTTTTACGCCCTAGTCAATCTGCATAAATAAGCTAAAAAACAAAGCAAGAAATGTATTGTAATTTTGAAGAAAAAAAAGCAGTCTGGTAAACAAAGAATCGTGCTAAAAGCGGATAGACTCATAAATTACAATACATCATGAAGTTATTGACTGTACATTTTAATCATTAAAGAAACGAAAGATTTACTGAATGGAGTGTATGAAATATGACTTTGAACCAGTTACTGAAGGCGGCCTGCTTGAGTATCTGGGCTACCTGTTCCTCTGATCTAGATATTTCATCAAGTTATCTGTTTTGTTGTTTGTTTTAGCACATCGTTATGTCTCTTGTGCACACAATCTATTCAGGCGCGTTTATGAAAAGTTTACAACCTTTCGCTATACGGGATACAAAAAGGTACAATCAGCGACATCATGGTGGCCGGCAATATGCATTGAAACGAATGAACATTAATCAAATGTGGATTACCGAACTCCTAACATCTAACTGGTCATCATTCAAAATTTATCATCACAATCGATCAAGGTATAAGAAAAGGAAACTTGTTGAAATACTTTATGCTGAGAATTCTATGTTGTACTAAAAATATGTTGAATAAAGCTTCTAATAATAATAATAATGGAGTGTATGAAATATGACTTTGAACCAGTTACAATTACATGAGTTCTTTTAAATGTAAATTAACTTCAAAATCTTAAATATGTCATGATTTATCATTTATTTCATCTGTTCTTATCCTAATCTTTTCAAATTTGTTGATTTCTTTTCTCAATGCTATTAAACAAATTGTTTCATCGTAAATAGATGAACCTGTAGTGTCTAATGCTATGTCAACAACAAATGAGTTATTCTAGCTTCTGGGCATATTAATATATATATTCTTCTTGAATCACATTTTGACCTTGTCAACTACTCAACTATAACCTTGACTTTTTCTATGAACGTATGTGTCAATCGGTTACCCTATTCATAATATATCTTTAGCTTATTTTTGTCTGGCTATAAATATTAGGTCACGCTTTATCGATGGGAGTTGTCATATTTGCCTTCTCCAGTCTGCTTCTCTGCTTTGTTTCTTTGATTGTCTGTCTGGATCAACGAGTTTATGAAATATAAGTATCCGAAATTCATTCTCGTATATGATATATTTTATTCCGTTATTCTCAAACACGAATTCAGTTGATAATTATATACGAGGGTTGGTGGCATTTATATTTCGTTAACATCATCATACGATCTAATCGGAGTAAGATCCACAAAGAACTAAAACCCTTGTGTTATATTTTTCATGGTTTTACCTGGTAGAATAATGCATTCAGTTGCTGACTTATATCTACGGATAAAATTGTCATCTAAAGCCAAGTTCAAAATGTAAATTTGTTTGGAATGCATTTTTAGCTTAAGAGTTCTGTGATAGAAGAAAGTGATCAGTTGATAAATATCAATACAATAATCACCAATGTTAGAAGTAAAGTAATTGTTCACACCACAAGAATACAAAATGGTGAGTTATGAAGCATTTTGAAGGTAAGAAACAGTTTCGTACTTCAAAAGTATCTGAACATTTTAGGCTGGTTGATTGGATACAGGAAAGATCAAAAGCAACAAGTCTAAAGTCCGAAGGTAAATTCGTACTGCCGATTGTACTGGGTTGTGATGGTAGTAAGATCTTTCCTATAGATAACGAGCAACTTTTATGATGTTGCATTTCTGCAACGAAAGGTAGGGTTTAAAAAAGGTCAACCCCTAAAATAGCACTCTTCATGTTGTCCCACGGGTTTTTTGACAGAAGGCAAAGTTTAAAAAGTACAGATCTGATACATTCAAACTCTCACAAAATAGTCATGTGTACACTTGACCTTAAACAAGTTTCTCATGAGCTCTTCGGTCACACTCTCAGATTATCAAAGCCACCACCAACTCTATTTTCTTTTCAGATACCTCGATTTCTTTTTAAGAAAATCTGAAGTTGAAATAATCCGTTTTTTAAATAAAAATAAAATAAGCAATGTGAAATCAGTGTTTCGTCACGAATCACTAAGGGCTAGGAAGTACTGGAAAGCTATTACATCCTAGTACGGAACTCCTCATCAGTATGTACTAACAATACCTCCTACAAACTAAACTAATCTTCATAAAACCTCTTTATTAAAACAATAATAAAAATTAACAATAATCTCACCTATAACCGACACGCAGATGATCATGCAATGCATAAGCAGCAATCGGAAATGATGTTGGTTTTGACTGAATTTGTTGTGGCTTACCCCAACAAACAATTAGGAGTTTCTGATATAGTTCCCAAGGACTCTATTTCATTAGAAATTAAAAAACGAAATTCGGAGTTTAAAAAGCACAAACTTTCGCTCGAAATAAGTCAGTCACAATGACGAACGTGGCGCATCTGTACATCAGTTGAAGTTCCATGGAAACTTGACCTATAGGCCTAATCCACAAGGCAGTGGAGCAACATGGGGAGATGTAGTCCCATGGTAGCCGGTGACCAACGATTGGTTTGTACTACATATGTTCCTTCAGGACCCTAGAGTCCATGTACACCTGGCACGTCTGTACATCACTTCAAGTTCTCATACCCCATTAGCACAAACAGATGAAATTATTAGGCTAAATCCCACAATAGTAGAGGTAGTAACAGTTTCAGTGGCAATAAGAAAGATTAGACATAGAAGCTCTAACTCGAAAATTGAATATAATTTACTGAAATAAAAACGAAAAAGGTTATAAAGAATATAGAATCCCAAAGTTTTGGGGAAGACAAACAATGGATGCAACTGCGCCATTCCAAACGATTTCGAGCCAGGTCATTCAAAGTGTCTAACAATTGGTTGCGATGATCACTCGGACTCCAACCAAATAGTCAACATCTGTTGACACGGCTAAGTCCAATTGTCAGTAACTCCATGGATTGATGCTATGTTTTGATTTGGTCGCCCCTAGCTTTCGTCTAACCTACTCTTCAATCGCACAACATTCTCCGTCGAAGTAGGTTGGCAAAAACCAGTCGACTCTTATGAATCCAATTTGCTTTTGTTAATATGATGAATTGAAATTGGTAATCTGCTAATGCTTCTATTGAGTCAACAAAACTTAAATTGTCATAGTTTTTACAAGTCATGAATCTTAGTTAGACTGCCATTGAAGACCTAGAAGCACGGGATAGCTGTTTCGTTCTAATATGGGACTCCTCATGTCAAATGTGAGACAGTTACCCATGGCAGGTAACAAAAGATAGTTGCACAATACCACGAATTGATAGGAGTTGGATATTAACACAATTGGATCTCGGTTCAGTGATCTAGAGGTCAGGAATTCGCGCGAGGTAATAGATCTGTACAGATTATTTTGAACTGAAGTTAGTTTTATGTCGCCGATTGATATCAGCTATGGAAACACTGAGATAAGGAGAGGCTAGACAATCGTTTCGAGTTAAATGTCTGACATCCCAGTGAAAGGACGTGGCTTGTTAAGTTCGACCATCCCCATACCGAGGCAGTTACCGAACAATGGATACTGAAGGCTGTCTCGGTATGTAGTGAACTTATGCAAGTTGGAAATGTGAACCATAGGAGACTAACTCAATAGTCTAAAAGCAACGCGCCCCCGGAGAGACCTGAGGGTCTTAGGTTTGGGCCTCAAAGTCATGAGTGTCCATTGCTGGAGAGTCCCATGTTGGGACAAATCAGATCTGTGGTGTTCTCTGGCCTTCCATAATACAATGACTAGTATCCATGTTTGTTTTTTATCACTTATTCCAAATAGTAAAACCGTACAGATTATGCATAAAATTGAAGTCATGGCATTGTCACTGTAAAAAGTTATGTGCATTCATATAAGACTTTCTTTTATAAGAAATTAAATAAATATTATGTAGTTTGAGGATTTTCACTACAAACAGATAAAGAATATCACTAAAATCACTGAAATTCCAGTAAACAAGAAAGACAATTCGTGACTACAAAACACTTATAGTAAAAATTTCCACAAAATTTATCATAATTGATTTCACAGGATGAAGAAATGAGAGGAACAAAGACAGATCAGCACTTATCGATCGTGTATTATGACATAATGATGAAACTAACCAATCATATATTAATAATAACATTTTTGGTTAGTGTCTAGCATGAATGTTTATTTTCTATAACTAAAAGAGGCACTACACTAAATTATTATATCCAGACGAGAATAAATGAATGGTAACTGTTAGGAATTACTTATGAACTAATATTATACGAATATTCTTATTGTATGGCTATTAAGTAACTAACTTATGTGTATTCATATTCCTTTCATTATAAGCTTTTATTTGACCTATTGATTACAGTTATATGATTTACTATTCTCAATCTATTGGTAACAGTTTCTCACAATCACAACCACTTTTGGCTTGATCTTGTACAAATTGGTATTTTCCATTGCATGGTGTGATGTGGTCTGATTTTTTTGTACATAAACCCAGTATGTCTGAAATATATGATTCGTATAGCGGAGGCTGAGTTTGGAGTTTTGGACTTAACAGGCAGAGCCAAGCAGAAGAACCAATAAGAATTCTAGGCTGACCGCATGGATGCAAGTGTCATTAGTCTGATTGTATAAGTCAGCGTATCTAAATTCGCAACCCTACTTTGCGATAATCGTATAGCTAAGGCCATAACATAAATATTATGAAGTAATTAATGTCCAAATAAAAGTGAAAAGTCGAGTTGCTTAAATGCGATGAATGGTGTACTAGTATCATTAAACTTGAACCTATGATTGTTAATTGTATTCAAATCGCAACCAGAACAAAAAACGGATGGACAAGAGACCTATTCAGTTTCACGTGATATCAAAGGTATGAGAGCAGTTATCGCCTTCCGTTTCCCTACTCTATAGATAGTTTTACTTGGGAGATTTAAAAAAACTGGATCGGTAATGGCCTTGATGATCTTGGGAGGCAACCGCAATCCCAAAAAGAAAAATACTTAAGGCTGCTTAAATACGACTTTTCTTTAGATGAGTTAATTCTGCGCTTTTGAGACCTTACCTAAAGTGACGGGAATTCGCAGGACAAGATGAGGTGTGATGTTTTAAGGTCAACCTTTACTAGCACACTCCTTCCGTTGTGGGAAGGGAACATCTCTGTAGATGCTGATTGTCTGAGATAAACACGTTATTGACGGCATAACCCAGTACAATCGGTACTGTGACTTCATCCTCAGTTCACGATTTTGCTGCTTTTAGTCTTACTACTCTCCAACCAACCTTAACAAGATAGGACCTAAATGAACGAATTTTCCAGCCAATATATCTCGATTGGATCATCATGATGTGTAAATCCGACCACCAGGTCAATGTACAGCTACAGTCGAGAAGTAGCTAAGTGGTTAAAGCATTTATTTTTGACTTGTAAATGATGTGTTCAAACTCCATTTCGCTTAATGCAAAGTTCTGCACTTCATACATGAGTTACACCGAATTGTAATCAATAAAAAGGAGAAATATTGTAATAACGAAACATTCATAGATCAAATTAAGAAAAACATTGCTTTCTTCAAAGTGGTACAAGTCACTTAAGTTTGTGAATAAGGGAATTGGCAGTAATATAATAATAATAATAATATTTTGAGAGAATGAACAAGGAAATTCAACCAGTTTAATATGTCAGGATAATAAGTTGGTATTTGTGAATTTGCGTCGCTGAGGAGCTCTGTATAAGGGCGAAACCTCCCTCTAGTGCTTTCAGGTTTTTAATATCAGTCTAGCTAAGACCAATTCGTGATTTCAATTGACGAATTCTACAAATCCCTCATACTAATTTCCATTTTGTCATAATTTTTTACATAGGATCTTAGTTTGTTGATTAGATCTTATCATATTAAGCTGTATAGTTTTCCTTAACTTTTATGTATGATCTTTACTCAATATTACCGAAGACGGCATTTAAGACTGAGTCGACGAGAAATTTGCCATTTTCAATTGATGATATGGAGTACTTACTTTACTTACTCCTGTTACTCCTCATGGAAAAGAACAAACCGCCCACTATCATTCTCCACTCAACAACACATAGGGTTGGCTATGTCTTTAGAAAGTTTCATTATCGATTTTCGTTGTTTATCCGAGTCCCGTATTTAAGACTCCAGTGAGGCACTACAAATTCACGTGCGTTTATAACTCCACATGTAGCTCTCCTAAGGTTACTGCCGGTTTCAAGCCCGGGTAAAGAAGGAGAGTTGGGCATATGGTCGGAAACCCCATCTCGCAGAAAATAACCTTGCAAAAGAACGCTAACCAGAATAAACGATGACGTGGATTAATTCAACTTTAATATTGTGTCTATTGCAACATACTGTTAGTTTTAGATTTACAACTGTAAAGCCTGATGAAGATTTCATCGAAAACGTTTATTCCCACTAAGACTTATTGTTCTTGCAGAATATAATAAATGAAAAGTTTCAAATTAAAATTAAAAAAAGAAACAACCTACACCTCCAAGCATCGCAGTTTTATAAAATTTACGAGCAGCATTAGTATATTTTTCATTTCTACCCAATAAAATGAGACCGGAATAAGCAGCTGGCAAAGATTCAATGATATACAATTTAGGAATTTCAATAGATCCACATGAATTCGATGAATTATCATTAGGAGTATCCTGTTGTTCCCGTTCCAACGATGTGATTATAGTGTTTAATTGTGGTAAACAATCATTTATACCAAGATCTGATGCATTGTATAACTAGTTCAATGATTAAAACATTAATGAGAATGAATAAAGAAATAAGTAAAATTAAAATTGTTAGAAAACAAGGCGAATAATAATATCAAATATTAAAATTGACTTGTAAACAAATGACAAATTGAGAGGAAAACTTGTAAAGCATCATTGAACAATTCTGTCAAAAATTAAAATCAGAAGTATGTTTATTTATTTAGTTTGATCATGGAGAGCAAACTAATTAAACATGATTGACCACTTCACTTTTCTTGGTGACCTAATTAACTCTGTTGCGTTGATGTTGGGCAAGATTTAAAGACATATACAAATAACAGTAATTATTTACCTACTTAAATACAGGAAAGCACTTTTAAGGTAAATATTAAGAATTGAGACTGCAACAATGTGCATTAAAAGACGTTTCACTGTTTTAGGTAGATAAAAGTCCCATTCCACTAGGCTTTGTAGTATATCATCGTTACACAGAAATTAAATTACGGTAACTGATCTCAAACAAAACGACTTTGAAAGAATGGTCATCGAACGTTCAGAGTACTTTAAATAAATCTGTAAATCTTTGGAAACTAATGTGATCCTTGGTTTGTTTTACGTATGTATCAATAATGTTGAAATCTCCTATACAACATACATTGTTCATGGACATTTCCACAAATAGTATATTACGTTTACTGGCCTAGAAATTGAAGCAACTTATATATGACATTCTATCAGGCCAACTCGAGGCTGTTTAGTATTAGGCCAAAATACATCCCGAAATATAAGATTATATCTCATGTTATCTTCTACAAATGTTTAGCGGTAAAACATGAACGTCACACCACTAATTTACACTTGGTAAGTCTGTTGATGAATTTTAGTAAGTTAGCAAGGATATAAACGAAAGCTGATTCTTATAGTAGCAGAAGGCTAGTGAAGTACAATCAGAAAAATAAATGAGTCTTCATTTTACCACAAAAAGATAATAAAGTCTAGATATTTTTGACTGATACAAATCTCATAAAGACTACAATTTGATGTTAGTAGAAATCTTTTGTAATTCAAACCAGGAAATCCAACTTTACAATTCTCATTCATAACGCTTTGACATAATCAGTTTATTCATTGACACTTCAAACAACAAATGTATCTGGAATGGTGAAATAATGATATGCTTAAGCTCAGGAAGTATAGAATACTATAAATTAACATAAAACTCCAGGGATATTATATAGGTCTACTTCCCTGATTTATTTTATTACAATGTTAGTTTTCAAACAAATTGTTTGGCCATTTTTTACGAAGAAACATGGCTCCATTTTCTTACTTTAGGATTAATCATTGAAATAGCTTCACGGCTGGCTAGTGAGTGACCCCAAACAGAAAGATTAGGTGGTTTATCAATCACAACAAAATGTTTAGTTAAAGCTACAATACGCTGACTAAGATAGTGAGCCAATTCATGTGGATCTGTCCAAGACAGATATTTCGGATATGGAGATTTATCAGTTGTCAGTTCAGCAGAATTGTTTACAACATTCTGAACAGGTGTAGTTGAGTACTGGGGTTGATAACATTGGTTATTATTAAGTTTAGATCTGATTAGTAGTTGATCAATCACATTTGAAATGTAACAATTTGGAAGTGTACACAAATTCAAACTTTTTTTCAGCATGGTATTCTTTCTTGTTTGTATTAATCTAAAACTAATAAAGAGAATTGATTAACAAACTGAAGAACGAATAAAAAAGAATACAAATTTACATCATTAAAATAATAAAAACTTTTGAACAAAAGAGTGGTGATAATTATGTAGAACAAACCAATAATTCAAAAGTACATTCAGTGGTCAAAGGGTTTTTGCAGGTTTGGACTAAATAGAAAGATATATTCGTAGCATTTGAGGCTGCGATGTTCGCCGTCGAATGGGAATTCGTGTCATAAGAATGTGTTACTGGTGAGCTCTATCCACATCATAACATAGGAACACAATATAAGAGCAAAAATTGAGTTGCTTTTTACTTTTTAATCGTTGTACGACATTAAAATATGACTTCACCTTCAATAAACTGCTAGGTAATTATTATATTTGTATACCCAACATAAGCAACTGGCTGTTAAGTAAACTGTAAGTTCGACCTTACTACAGATTACTACTGTATTTACGAGACAGTATATTATATTCCATCAACAATTTACACTTAGGTTACAAACACTAACATCATGAAAAGAATCAAGAACCATAAAAATAAGTAATATTTATTGGCTTTACTTGTGTTAAAAAATGATATTATATTAACTTTAAACTTATCAAGAATTATATCAAAACTATTATATTGTCATTCAAGGTTGACACTAGCAAAAACCAAATTGTGTTCATACACTGGTTTATATAATGATGTTCATTGAATCGTTGTTCGATAATTCAAAAATGTTTAAGTTCACCTTGTTCACCGATATCCTAGAGTATCAGTATTTAATATGTAAGATTTCGAATTAATCAGAGATGTAATAATCGACAATAATGTACAAACGAAATTAATTGGCTCTTCACTAACAAACAACTATCAACCTGAAAATTTAAAAAAGAACAGTAATTAAATTAACTATGCAGTACTCTGACCAGATATACCACTGATCTATATTATTGGATGTTTTGACAAAAGGAATTCTGTCTCTTAAAGTTTGTGGAGTCTATTTAAACAAAGTTTGTCAACAGAAGAACATCATGAAAATTAATTAATATTGGATGAACCGATGGATATTCCCTAGTAAGAGTTATAGAAAACCGGATGAAGAAATTCGTTGAAGGCAAACAGAACAAGCGATTTTAGGCCTGAAAAAATCTCAAAGGTGATTTAGGTTTAAATTACTAAGATGTGAAACATTAACAGATATGTTTATACATCTTTAGTAAAATTATTTGCAGGTGTAATGGAGCATTACTTAGTTGTTGTGATGCAGATGTTGGATAACACAAATAATTAACGAAACAAGATGTTGAGTATAATATTTTATAAATTTATGGATTTTCATTCATAAGAGTGATTAGTGTCCATCGAAGAATAACTTACAGAGTCATACAGGTAACCTGTAACAAACATACTAGTGAGTTTTACTAGTACAGAGATAACAAATAGCAAATAAACAGCATATTTCAATGCGAATAGTTTGAACAAAAAGCACCATAAATTTGAACCAAATAAGGAATAAAATTAGCATTACACCGAAGAAACAAACCTGTAATAACGGTATACTATTTCATATTAAAGAAATATGATTAAATTTCAATACATTCCGTCTATAAATAGCACTAATAACATCTGCCCCCAAATGCCCTGGTATGGCCGAGAGTGGGGTGGGCCCGCCCTCCCTCTCGAAATGCTCTCACATGCCTCTGCCAGGGAAGTCCTACTCACTGCCTTCTCGTGACGGGGGTGTTGTTTACGAAATCGAGAGGACGAAAAGCGGATGTCCAGCGCTTTAACCGGATCCCAAACCAAATCAATGGTGCAAATGGGCTCCAGTATCCTAAGGGAACAAATGGCGTATGAACCAATTTTTGGTCACCGGCTACCATGGGACTGCGTCTCCTTACGTTGCTCCACTGCCTTGTAGATCAGACCTTTAGGTCAAAGGCTCGGGGCGTGGCCCCCTAAGAAAACCACCTGTTTCGGTCTGGGCACCCGGGCAGTATCATAGCCCACACACAAATATAATGGTAATGAAAATGTGTGGCGCATACATATTTGGTGCCCTCTTGTACCAATGTTTATGTGTTCAAATAAAATAAAATAAACTAATAAAATCTAAACAACAAAAGTACTTCTAAATATCTTTTCATTTAATAATACTATAGTTAAGCTGTACTAACCGCGATAAAATTTGCATCGAGAACCACATAAATAGTAGTATTCAAGGATGGACAAGACCTTTTAAGTGAAACAAATTAAAATATTAATTTTTGTTTTAAAATGTAAAGCTCCTATATGTATTTCCAATCTGCCTACACAGAGATTTATTTTAGAGTTATCTTATTGGTAATAGTGGTCACGTAAATATTTTTAAATGGTGCCTATCTTAGTAGTATGTTATTTTTATTATAAAGTAGCAATATCTTTATTAAATTTGTTAACCAGGAGTGAAACTGTACTAGTCGAACAGTAGTTTCATGGAATTTCTAATAAGACTCATCAATAATGAAAACATTAAATCAAAAAGACCTGAAAAACGCACGTTAACTTGCCGATTTTATCAACGCTAAACCATTTTAGGTATATCAATGGTACAACCTTTTGTTTAACCTATTCATGAGACTTAAGAAGCCAGTTTATAAAACAAAAGATGGAGATATATTTCATAAACGTATGGCATTACTTAATCTTGGGTGACATTTCATCGATATTCTCCTTATAGAGAATTTCTGGGCAAATACAAGGATAATAAATAACCTAAACATTAAAGTATCAAACTTTGAACTGAAGAAATTATTATTAATACACATCCCCCATATTTAAATGAATTTTGATTGATGTAACTCATTGGAAGAAACTGAATCTGTATACGATATTCACATGTATAAATAAACACGACTAAATAGCTTAGTGTGTTGCTTTAAGGATTAAAAAATCATAAAATTTATGGATGTTTGTCAGGTAAATAATAAAAAGTAGGTTTGCGTGCAAAGTTACGGAGAAATATATTTCATAAACATTCAATACCTGGTAACATCTACGTCTTGGGGGTTAGTGAATAGACGTGAGCGGTTAACAGAGTTGTAAAAATAGAAATCTATAAGAATGTTGATAAGGAATGACTAACAAAGAAAATACACTAATTGTAACCGACACGTCAACAAAAATGAATTCTTTTTTGCTACTATCTTTCAGCATTCGAAAAGTAGAGATTACTCTGATCAGATATACTTTTATTAAAAATAGTTGTATATTACGGTTAATAAATTTAAACTGAAATTTACAATTCTGCAACAAAAATCACATCAATTTTACACATACTTGCTTGAACTTCTAAAATATCACACTTGCTGATATAATTAAGATGATATCAACCTCAGTAAAACCGTTATTTATGAAAGTGATAGTAGATTGCATGTTTTTACACAGCCTATATAGCAAACTATCGCAAACGACCATTTCAATATGTTCATACCTGTCCATCTGTCTCCATGAAGACAATAATGTATTATTTACAGAGAATTTACAACGAAGAATGAAATTAATATCGGTTTTCCAATGAAAGATATATCGTCAACAACAGACTAGGTGTAGCAAATATTTTATCTAACTTAATGATCAGAAAGGTGCAAACAATAACACTAAGGTGTATTCCTTCACAGTTTCTCTCATAAAAAATTGTCTGATACTTTTAACAGAAAGTTGTTCAAATCTAATCGATTGTGATCAGTCATTTTTAGGCCAATACTTATGATTCATAGCAATTTCTGTTGTTTCATCCTAAAAGAATTAAATTAGGTTTTTTAGTTTAAAGAGTTTGATAAATAATACACCATGGTTGACCATAGCGAAAAGAAATCAAGTATTACAAGAAATTTAAAGAATAATAGTTGCAACTAAGTGGATAAGGACTGTTTTCTACATTTGCTACTTAACATTAGTTTTAACCGATCTTTCATGATCCTAAAATCACATATGCGTAGGCGAAACAAACAATGAGGATTTTCGCCCTGCCATCGTCGACAATTTTCTACTCACTAACCAGTCTCCAACAATCGAGTTTTCGTGGTCGGTCGGTAAAAACAAATATAATGATTGTATCGTCCAATCGAAGCAAACGAATTTGTCCAAAATATCAATGAAAAATTGGAACAACAATCTTAAGAGATTAACAAGATGGAACCACAATATAAATATCAACTATGACTATTTATTTATTCTATGTAAGGTTTCGATGGAAATAAACGGTCAAACGTAAACCCGTTTTTTGATAACCGAATGAGTATTTTAACAGCACTATAGCTGCATATCATCCAATTACGTTCATAGTCAGTAAATAACTTTCTTCCTCACACCAAACAATAAGTGATAAGTGAAAAGGATATGATGATTAGAATAATTCACCAAAATTCGTTAGTTATATTTCGAATTTACGAAGGTTTGTTAAATTCTCACGACTGTTAGTATGGAAATGGTCATTACTAATCCATTTTACAGCTAAACGCTTGAAAAAAATACAGATACGTGGGTAATGATACATTTACTTAGTCGAATTTTTAGTACTTTATACTTATAATAAAGTGTTAATTTATCCTTTTTAATGGTACTCACATTAAGTATGAGTACAAATTTCTATTATCAAGTCTGTAATTTATGAAATATAACTAGTTACGAAAGACATACAAAGATGAATGAATTAATATCAAGTACAAACGACAAGTACACAAAGAAAGAAAACATGCTTGAAAGCATATATATAAACATATTTCATTTTATTTACTTGAGATATAATTTATTCACATACATTAAAATAAATAAAAACAATCTTCAAAATAAAATTTGTATGCTATACCAGTACTACAGGAAAAACGCATAGAATTAAGAGATTGAGGTAAACAGTATATATATATATATATATATATATATATATATATATATATATATATATATATATATATATATATAATTAACTTCATCCATCGCTTGTATTTGTGCTGCATTTCTTATCTTACAATGTCCAATAACAATATAACATGACAAAATATACATATCAGAAAACCAAACAATTAGTAAATACAAAACCAACCATATTTCTCAGATAATAAATGATAAAGTATAGATGAAAATGCATATATTAAGTTAATGTTCCGAAAAAAATTGATTTCAGTAAAAAAAAACGTTAACTAGATCAATAATCGATTAGGTGATTAGCTAATTGGTTAACAATAACATCAGTAAAGAAAACAAAATATCAAAATAATGATTTCGGAAAAGAGGATTCATTAACCAGTAATAAATGTTGATTAAAAGAAGACCCAAATTGATTACAAATTAATAGAAAATTTCAGGTAGTATTTCATATAAGAAACAATTATAAAGTATAATGAGATAATAAAAATAATAATAATAATAATAGTAATAATAATAATAATAATGGTATTCGATAAGGCATGAAGAAACTGACAATGTCAATTCTTTATGGATTGAATAGGGGAGAGGCAGAGGTAACATAAAAATTAAGGGTGTTCTTTGGTCACGATTTCTTGTTAAACAACAAACTTATGTATAGATTGACCCATAAGAAACGCACTAGCTAGAGAAAATGTTATTTTTCAGAATAGAAACTATAACCAACAAGTTGAAAATAAATGCTGTAGCAACTATAATAATAATAATAATAATAATAATAATAATAATAATAATAATAATAATAATAATAATGGTAAGAACAATAATATTCTTAACGTAAAAGTGTAAAGTGTGATATATCCCTGTGACGCATTACCGAGAGGGACGTGTATATATAAACATATATTGAAAATACATTTTGCTGTAACGTTCGACAACACCGGGTAACCATATAAGTACCAAAAGAGAAAAAAAGGTAACAAAACTAAACCAAAATAAAAAATAGTGTATATGTGAAAAAAGACACAACTATCAATAAATTACTAAATAATCGTAAGTTATTTAAAACTCAATAGTGAATAAAAAAGTAGAGTTGAATAAGAGAGTAGTGTAAATATGAATAAAGTAAATCTTTACATCAAAATAATAGAAATTTCATGATTAAACAATTAATAGATAAATGCTTTATATTTATTAACACCGATTATTTATCGGTAAATTTAAACTTAACGGCGCCAGATGTCTGGGTATTGACCATGGTTGGATTGTGTCCAACTTCAAAGACACATCAGGACAAAATGATGTTGTGTGACAGAAATTCATTGGATTCCCATTATATGCTGTTATTGTGGTTGGAGGAAGATTGGATACATTTCTTACTTGATCACCAGTAGATGTAATAATTCCTGATGTGGAACTATACAACAAATGTTGTTGTTTGGCTTGCAATTCTAAGAAATTAAGTGTATTATGTAACTGTTGTACCGTGCCGACTAGTAGAACACCTCCAACAGTAGATCCATAAGACTCAGTTGGTAAGCAGGCAAATTCAGATGTTTGGAGTTGATTTGACAATGATTGATCAAAATTATCGTTTGATTCATTATTGACGAGGGAATTCTTGGTAAATAAAGAATGTAACCAAAAGAAATAGATAAATTCGTTGGATGTAAACATAAGTAATCTAGAATCATTTCGGAAAGTAGAGAAAAAGTCATTTGAAAAAGTCACAACAATAAATATGAACTGTTGGTAAAATAATTGTTTAAACCAGTTAGTCGTAAACGTAGAGACTAGACACAATTAAGAATCAGTCTAATTTTTTATACATTACCAAAATGAGAGAAAACTAACCAGAGTCGAAATAATAGTATTCATAATATTAAGAAAATAGGCATAAGAAATTTGGTTCAAACAGAGGAAATAAAGTAGAAGAACAATAAGTACGAAATAATATTGAAAACCAAAATCTAGAAGAGATAAGGGAATAATACATTTGAATCATGGAGAAGGATTTAGAACTAATGCACCGGATCACATTACACAGAACCAGATTGACTATATTTGCATCACTAAAACATTCAATGGAAGACGTGAGAACCAGGAGGGGAGCTGACATAGCTTCAGACCACCACTTAATGATTGCCAAGATGAAACTGAAGCCAAGAAAGCACTAAACAATTTGGGAGACAGCATTACATAGGTTCGATACAGTCTTCCTTCTAGATACTGAAAAAGTCAACTAATCCTAGATAGATCTCAACAACAGGTTCCAAGCCTTTTAAAGATCTACTCAAAGAAGGAGACAAGTGGAAAGGTATCAAAGAAGCACTAACTTCAACGTGTCAAGAGGTACTAAGTCGCAACAAGCATCATCATAAAGAATGGATCTCTATCGAAACCCTGGATAGGATTCAAGAAAGGAAGAACAAGAGGACAGGAATTAACAACAGCCGAACAAGAACGGAGAATGTCAAGACACAGACCGGATACACAGAAGCAAGCAAACAAGCTAAGAGGAGCGTTGGAGCTGACAAGCAAAAATAAGTGGAAGACCTAGCAATGATAGCGGAAAAAATCAAAGGAGAAGGAAATATGAAACTACCATATGACACGACAAGGAAACTGGAAGGGAAATATAGTAAACCAGAGAGACCAGTCAAGGACAAAGAAGGCAAGCCAATCACTGAGATTCAGGAACAGAGGAACAGATAGATAGAGTACTTCGAGGAACTCTTGAATGGATCGGGCCTACTGACCCCACCAGACACCGGAGCAGCACACACAGACCTTCCTACAACTGTCACTCCACCAACGATCAAACAAATCAGCATGGCTATCAGACAAATCAAGAGTGAGAAAGCAGCAGGACCTGACAACATACTAGCCAAAGCACTGAATTCACACATAGAAGTAACTGCAAACATGCCCCGTGTTCTATTCAGAAAGGTTTGGGAGGAGGAACAAGTATCAGTAGACTGTAAAGAAGGATTCATCATCAAGATATCAAAGAAAGGCAGTCTGAGCATGTGTCAGAACTACACACACATCACACTACTATCGGGAACGTTTTCAACAGTGTTGCTGAGCCGGACGAAACATTCAGTAGACGTCCAACTTCGAGGTCAACAGTCCGGATTCCGTAAGGATCGGTCATGCACAGATCAAATAGGGACTTTAAGGATCATCGTTAAGCAATCAATTGAATGGAACTCGTCACTATATATAAAGTTTGTTGACTATGAGAAACAGTTTGACAGTGTGGATAGGAGAACCTTATGGAATCTCCCTCGACACTATGGAAAGAGTAGTTGAGAAGATTGTCCACATCATCAGAAATTCATAAGATGGACTACAATGCAAAGTCGTGTATAAAGGACAGTTGACAGATTCATTCCAAGTGAGGACCGGAGTCAGATAAGGCTGCTTACTTTCATTCTTTCTCTTCCTTCTTGTGGTTCACTATATTATGAAGACCTCCACACTTGAGGGAAAGCACGGAATACAATGGACGGCTCGGAATCAACTAGACTATTTGGACCTCGCAGATGACCTAGCCAAGCCGTCCCATACATACGAACAAATGCAGATGAAGACAACTGGTGTAGCAGCAGCCTGTGCATCAGTAGGCCTCAACATACACAAAGGAAAAATCAACATCCTCAAATACAACACGGAGAACACCGACGCAATCACACTTTATGGAAAAGCTCTGGAACAGACGGAAACTATCACGTATCTGGACAGTATAATTGATTACTAAGGAGGATCTGAGGTATATATATATATATATATATATATATATATATATGTTTATAAACAGTTAAGTAAATAACTAAGTGGGCATTATGTAAAAACTTTGAAGGATCGATGGACGACATCATTACCACTCACAGTTTGTGTTCCCACATACACAGTTCAGTATCTGTGATGTGTACTACTTATGTGTGTCGACATAAACAGCATGTAACACCAATCGGATGTGGGAAACCTGGCAGCAAAAGGCTTTGAGGGTCGAGTTGAAGAAAACAGAAACGGAAATAGAAAGGAATTGCGAATAGGGAAAATCATAAGGAATGTGAAGGACGAATGATGAAGATTTGCAAATGAGTTATTTAATGTATGGTTCTCATATTTTACCAAGACATTCTATAATTTTATATTAAAATACACTGGTTGTCCCTACCTGAGTCTTCGTTTAATACATATATACTAGATTTTCCTTTGAATTGAAGAATATGTTGACGTAGTAGCTAGGGTTAGTGAATTGGAATTGTAATTAAATTGATAAGGGTGCATGTGATTTGGCTTTTTAACAAGTGGGTTTTAGATGTTCAGTGATAACAATCGCTTATTACAGTTACTTATTAAAAGCTACTTATCTTGCCAGTAATACAACCAAACTAAGACAGTCTGATTTGACGGTTTATAATAACATATAATACAATAATTAAACCTGTTCACCAGCTACTGGAGTATGAGGCAAACTGTAAATATGAGTTCTAATGATACTACCTGGTTTCTCGAACCGAAGTCGTTGGATCTCGATCCGAACCTAGTGCTTCGCGGTTGAAAGTTCAATGTTTTAACCACTAATATTAGCCCACCTATGTAAATATGATTTATTCTACCACTAGTCGTAATAAACCAGGGTAAATTGTAGATCTTTATCGAGCAAGACTGGATAAAAAAGAATAAATTTGTTCAGTGTAGGCAGCTTCAGAAATTTATGTTTAAGTGTTTCTACTGTGAGGCTATTAGTGTATATCGATACATGATAATCACTACGCGAA